TTAAGTGACAAAGCACATGGTTGATTTAGGTGGGGTGGGGGTGGGGGTGGGGGGGTGGGGGTTTTGATTGTGAAACATAGAGCAATGATGGTAGAGTAATGGGGTAGAGGAGTTCTTGGAACATAGTATTTGCTATGATTGATTAAATATATGTTTAGTTGGGTTTTTGTGTTATGAATTTTAGGCAAACTCTCATCTTTTCATCTTTTTCCCCACGTGATCATGCATCCCTTCTTTGAAACCCTCCATTTTCTACCATCATCATCCATCAACTATTCCAACTTTTTTTTTTTTTTTTTTTTTTTCTATAAATAAATAAAGATATACATGAAATATATATACATATATATATATATAATAATAATTATATGAAAAGTCAATTCTTTGTACGCAAACGTACAATTAATATATCTATACGTATAGTTAGTTCCTCGTGTGTAAGCAAATCATCTTCTTGGTAATTGCATAGATTTTTTTTTCCTTCTTGGAAACGTAATTAATGATTACTTATTCTTTAAGATCAATAATTAATGAATTATTAACTGCTACTGCATCTGTTTCGTATTAACTGTTACTTTAGAATTTCAAGCTAAAATTAATTTTTTTTACCAACTTTGCCCCTTTATAGTTGATTGTTCTACCTCCTTAATTTAGATAGTAAAATCCCACTTAATAGTTTTGTTAAGGGCGATTTTAAAAAAAAATGTAAAGGGCAATTTGGGACTTTTTAATTAAAAAGAAGACTATGTGTTAGGTTTTTAATCTGTGTGCTTTTACCTTAAACGACATTTAATATGAAACGGATAACTTTACTTGATTTATTATACAATAATTTTGTCAAATAAAGAGAGCTAATAATAGTACATAGTAATTTGACATAATTAATGACCATAATACCCCTTCTCCATCAACAGTTCATGATCCAAGTACACGACCAAAAGTACAGGTAATATTCTTTCCAAATCCCAACACGAGTAACATATATACAAGCAGAAATAATGCAATGGATCGAATTTGCTGTTTGCAAATAATAACATTGTCCTCTGCAAAAGAAATATTCTTCAATCCAATTTGTTTGTATTTTTGCAACCTAAATCTATATAAATAACTGTCATTAAACACACATACACATGAATATATATGTATTATTATGCGTAGATCAACAGTGCCCGATCACCAAGTGTATTTCACCAGTATTACAAAACCGTCATTTCATGGTTTTCAACGTAGAAGAATTGTATTTTTCTATAATCTTTCTTTTAGTTGGTCTTCCACTTAGTAAAACTGGTATTTCGAATAGCAGCGTACGTCCTTTGTTTGTACGTTTTATAAACCGATCCTTCTCATTTGTAAACAATACCAAGTCAAAATTCTAACACATGATGCACTTATTTAATTTTCTTGTACTTCATCACTACGTCATGTAATGTTAGATTAACGTGCAATTAGTAGGGTTTTCAATTTTTCTATTAATTATTTAATATAATTTGGCAGAACCAAGTGGAGCAAAAATAAAATAATAATAATAAATAAAATTAAAAGGTAATTTAGAATAATGGGAGAGATTGCCAGTACAGAATCCACTTACATTACCTGACAAACTCCACATGCCCCATTTAGTTAGAGAGAGAGAGAGAGAGAGAGAGAGAGAGAGAGAGAGAGAGAGAGAGAGAGAGAGAATCCGTACTTAGCCAACCAAATTACACTGTGCCATTTGATAATTAAATAAAAAAATAATTAATGGAAATATGACCCACATATTCACACTACATTCCATCCTAATAAAATAAATTAAATTAAATTAAATAAATATTTAAAGTGGCTGCTTTTTTGTGTATGTCACATTCCCTATGAAAGCTGTGCATCCTCTGTTAAGTATTTATCCATCTGCATTTTTTTCCTTTGACACAACCAAAACACAAATAACTTCTCTCACTACAAATATATACACATATATATACATACACACACACATACATATATATATCCCATTACAAGAACATCTCTTCTTGATCTTTCTTACATTGAAGGTGCAGCAGTTGTTGAATTACTTGCAGCAGCAAATAATGTCAGCAAAGATGATGTCATCTTTATCGGACGAGAATCGCAACATTCAGAAGCAGATTGGATGCATGAACGGCTTATTACAACTCTTCGATCGTCGTCATTTCCTTACCCCCCGACGCAGCCATAAGAAGCTACTTTTAGGTATGTCAACAAAATTATTCGGTTTAAGCTGCCATTAACAAAAAAAAATCGAGTATTACGCTTTCGTATTAGGACATTGTGTAATAAATATGACATAATTAAATCTATTTTCTGTTTCTTTAAGGTTCCCAACAACAACTGGAGTCCCATAATGCAACAAAACCTGTCATGGTAAGATTCTCAACAAGTTCGTTTTTCGATTAACTAATTCTTTTTTCGGAAGTTGTAATGTAGTTAAAACAATGGCTTACAATTTTTTTTTTTCACAGGAGAAACCAAGATTGTCGACAGAGTCGTCGTCCCAAGCCACCTCGTATTCATCTTCTTCCTGTTCATCATCCGCATTCTCGTCGCTCGATCAAAATCGAAAACCTAAACAAACACAAACACAAACACCTTCAAACAGACAAAAAACCGATATTTCTCAAAAAACCCAATTCTCCGTCAAAGAAAAACAGCAGCTGAAAAAAACTCCCGATATTCGAGACCTAGTGAAGGACTCCATGCACCGAGAAGCACGTGGTGTAAATATCAAATCTTTCTCTAGCCAAGAAAGAAAAGTCACTGTAATGAAACACATGGACTCGCCCAGGCCTTTCACGCTCGCTCGTTTCTCTTACGATGGAAGAGAATCGCGGGATTCTTTCAAGACCGCGATGAAGCTCAAAGAACTCCCTCGATTATCGTTAGACAGCAAAAAGACTTCTTTACCCCTCGAGCCAAGATCATTGACCAGCCGAGTTCTACCGTTGGATCAAGAATCGGGAGGTCACAGTCACAGTAGATCGTCGAGCATTGTAGCAAAGCTTATGGGCTTGGAAGATTCTTTTCCCGATAGTACCATTTCGACAGACGAAAATTTCATTACAAAGACGAACTCGAAATCAAATTCGAAAGTTTCTGTCAGAAAATCAACTACATGTTCAAGGATTCCAGTGGAGCCAGCTCCATGGAAGCAACAAAAGTGCGGTCAAAAAACGTCTTTGCAGAGCAAGAAAGCTTCAAAAAATATCCCACATCCATCTTCGTCGGTTTACGGTGAAATTGAGAAGAGAATAACGGAGCTCGAGTTCAAACGATCTGGGAAGGATCTGAGAGCTCTTAAACAGATACTTGAAGCAATGCAGAAAACAAGAGTGAGATTGGAAGAAAGTCAAACTCCGAAAGTCAACGTCCCGGAAATGGGAACACCGAAATTGCAAGTTCGCCAAATTCAGGACCCTAAATATCGAAGGAATAATAATAATAATCCAGCACATGGAGAAAAGGCAAAAGATGTTTCACCGAGAACTTACACGAAGAAGGACGCGTGGAAAAATCAAGAACGAGCGCGAGCTTCCGAAAATTGCACTACCTCGGGAAGCGGTTTCGGTGCAGTGGGTCCCAGATCGCAACGGAATATACTCACGGCTGTAGGTGAATCTCGTACTAACACCTCATCGTTAGAGCCGAGCAGGGTCAGAAAGCACATCAGCAGCAAGAAAGTGACGGAGAAGTTTCATCAGAACAGAAAACAGAAAGTGAAATCAACGGATTCGCAGTTAAGTGACGACCAATTGAGTGAGCTTAGTAGTGAGACGAGGCAATCGAGCTACCACGGTGATACAGCTTCAATAAAATCAGAACACATGTCGGATATAGAAACAGAGGTCTTAAGTTCGATCAACACGAATACTCGAGAACAGCAGGTAAGAAAAAAGTAACATTTTTTGGTGCTATTCGATTTTGCTTACTTGATTCTTTTACCGTAACTCGACAGCTTAACTTTATTTTTTATTTTTTTATTCTTTACTCGACAGAATTCAGTGTCGCCACCAAAAGAACACATGTCGGCGGTCGAACAACCAAGTCCGGTTTCAGTTCTTGATTCTACATTCTACGGTGAAGATTCACCATCTCCAGTAAAGAATATATCAACACCTTTTAGAGGTATCGGACCATTTTCCCGACTTCTTTAACTTCTTACACCTGCTTTATAATTGCAACATGCAAAAGTTTCCGTAAACAGAAAGAAACAGTCAAAATCAGACATGTACGCACTTACACAAATCTTGCATATACTAATAATCATTCTTTGTTTTTATGCAAAACTAAATAACAGACGAGAGCCCGAGTCCCGATGAAGCAGAATGGCACGTCGAGAATCTAAATCATTCAACACACTTCACAAAATACGAAAAGAACGAAACTGCTGTAAATCACAATGGACCTGTGTATTGGAGCCTCGATCCATCTCACAGATACATTAACAAGATACTACAAGCATCAAAACTCCTCGAAGACACAACTCCAACAGCCAATCAGCTCCTCTCTTCGTGCCCTCTGATTAATCCCGACGTGTTCCATGCCCTTGAAGAAACAGAGGACCCTTTGGAGGAAGCAAATGGAGAATTCACTGAAAAGAATAATCAGATTAAGTTAAATCAGAAAATCGACAGAAAAATTGTTTTTGATGCTGTAAACGAAATGCTGGTTCGCAAAATCACTTCGGGCAGATTTTTCACACTCGGAAGGGAAAGGGTTGGCATGAAAGAGCTCGTAAAAGAAGTTTACTCGGAAATGGACAATTTGTGTAGGATGCCATATTGCAACGTTGACGACAACGATGATGGATCGATTGGACTTGTGACTGCAGATATGAAGTATCGATCGGATGAATGGACGGATCGGAGTTGTGAGTTTTCGGGTTTGGTGTTAGATATTGAACGGCAGATCTTTAAAGACTTGATAAACGAGGTTGTCATAGGTGAAGTTATGAGTCTTTCTGATTGGCCGAAGAGGCATAGTAGGCAACTCTTTAACTAGTGGTGTTTCTGTCTGTATGCGTAATTTTCCTCGTTTTTTGCTTCTTCTGAAATGATATAACTATAAGCACATATATCTCATTAACACGAAGGTGCCTTTCATTTCTTTAGTGTTTTGCTTTAGCCTATAAATAAGTATTCAGAGTAATTTTGAACAGCATCCAGATGTACGAGAAGGAAAAAGAAAAAACAAAGAAAAGAAATAGTTCTATAAGTATATGAACAACATAGGAATATGCAAACTCGTACAAGCAGCAATCACCTGTACTGAAAAGAAACAAATAAAGATAAAGCGAACGACTGCTTCAGCGAACTGCAAAGCCACATTTACAGTAGTGAACGTTAGAATGGAAGATGTTTGCAATATTATGCAACAATTAATAGTGGTAAGCAAAAACGACAAGCAATTTAGAAAATTGTCTAACCTGCATATGTATGTGCTTATCTACTTCAAAATAAAAATACTAACCTGCATCCGTAGGTAACTAGAAACTGTGATACACAGACTTCTAGGAATGAGCTCCGTCAAAATATGACTTGTAGGCAGAAATCTTTTCGGCAAAGGAAAATGAAAAAAGAATTACAGGGAAGACAGAATTGCCATTTGTTGTTGGTTCACAAAATTTAATCTCAAATTTGCATTTCTGCACTGAATTACGTCTTGGCAATGTGGTTTAGAAGTTAGAACACAAACATTGTATGCCTTGAGAGTTGACAAGTAATGCCATTATGGCCGTAAAGATCAGATCTTAAAGAAAGGAAAATATGAAAATAGAAGGAGTACACTTACAAGTAAGATTGATGAATTAAGTAGCAATGAATTCGAGCATTACTACATATGGGACTCTATAAATGCATTCAATCGGGTATAGAAAAACTGGAAAAACAAAGCTAATGATTATCATTTCACCGAGAAAAAAATTATCAATTACAAAGGTTGATGCAGGTAACTGACAACTACATACCTCAAGAACTCATTAAGAAAAGTGAGACTAGTTCCCGTTTCGAAATCTGAATACTCGTACAGATAAACTCTAGCCCCTCAACTATGACTACCCTCGAAAAAGCATAAAAATGCTAGCTAGCTCAATTAAAAAAAATTATACAGTCTCTAATCAAACACGCCTAATTTACAAGTGAGATTCTTTCAGTGGATTTCCATATTTTCCCGAAGAACTTTCTCAGCCGTCCTTTTCTTCTCATCTTCTCCATCACAATCATCACCAAACCAAAGAGAATTCTTTTCCGACCCCTCAGTCTGGCTGCACATCCCCGTACCTACGGATTTCTTACTATTTCCAAACTTAAAATGCACATTTTGCCTCTCGTTGAAAAGAATATTTCTCCTGTCCTCGGTTTCACAAGGAGCATTATTTGAAGCAGCTTCATTGGTTGACGGCATCGATTTTGATAGATGGTTATCCAACACTTTACGACTTCGATGATACCCCAGAGTTTCTTCCAAAAGTTTAGCCGGTACAACAGGCAAAAGAACATCCTTTTCTCCAAATTGAAGAGGCTGGGCAAGAAACGGGTTGCTTTCTGCTGCTAGTTTTACCTTTGCAGCATCCACTTTATCAACTACTACTCCTGCTTCAGACCCATTACAGATTAATCTTCGATGCATACTCGAAGAAGATCTTTCCACCGTCGCATCAGGCTCTTCTACCAGCAGGATTTTGTTAGCCACCTCTGTTTCTGAGTCTTTATCTGCATAAGTGTCGGGATCCGGAAACTTGGGCAACCAACTAGGTATATGTTCGTCGGGAGGATTTTCCTCTGCCTGTGCATAACTAGGGCTAAATATCCTCTCTTTCACAACAGGAAAAGCAGGAATCGAATATGCAAACGGGATTTCCTCTGCTTGGGCAACATAACGAATAACATCTCTAACAACTCCAGACCCTAAAAGGCAATGGTTAAGATCGGAAGCGCCTGGAAAACCCTGAACGGAGCCGAAATCCTCCAATCCTTGAATAACATCAAACACATTACACTGGCTCCTATTCGCTAAATTCGCGTACGAACACGCTGTTTTCCCTATATCCCTAATGTACCTCACCCCTACATCTGCAAGAACATCCAATGCAGACTGGTTAAAGCTCTGAAACCCTAAACCCTCGCAAACCTGCGCCACGGCAATTCTCGCAACGGCCTGGGCAAATTCGTCCGTTCCCAACTTCTTCTTCTTCCTATTCGACTGCTGATTCTCTCCCTCGGTCAAGCCCTTCAAACTATCCTTCCCAACCCCATCGCTCATATTCAACAACGCTTCATAATATCACATCATAATCAAAATTCAAAACCAAAATCACCTCGCTCGAACCTAAATTTAAATTCCTAATCACACAACTGCATTTCATCCGGCCAACATCACCCCGAGCAAAAACCCTAGATTTTTCCCCCTCTCGAAAGCAAAAAAAAAAAAAGAAAAAACAAAACCTACCGAGGTGAAAAAATATAGAAATATTGCAGTAGCGAACCGCTTACCTGAGATTTCTAGGGTTTAAGCACGGCGGAGATGGAGAACAACCGCGAATCAATCCGATTGAGCTCCGGCACAAAAAAAAATTGCTGATTGTAGATCAACGGAGCAAAGCTAATCAAATAGCTAATTACAAAATTGGATCTTTGGAGAATCTAAATGGTGGGGGAGGAGCCGAAGCGTCGCCGCTCCTTTATAGACGGCAGCCACTGCTTGTGAATGCTCTCACTCAGCCGCAAGCGGAGTCGCCTCTGGCAGCAAGTTCTGACTGAAATTTGTTGAAAGCGCTGTTTATATAACCGCGTTTTTAAGTTCTCGTGTTGATAATGCACGTAACTGGAGGAAAAGGAAACGGAGGGATGGAGCTCCACATATTTTTATTTTTTAATAATTAATAATGATAAATTTTACGGTAGGCCCGCCCCTTTTGTGTCTTGTAATTTTTCGTCCTCTATGTTGGTCTATTTATAGATCTAGTCCTCTAAGTTGTCTTATTTCAATTTCACATGCAATAATTTTGCAAGTTTAGCGTTTTTGGTCCTCTCTTAACTGTTTGAACTCAAATTTTACCACATGCCAAACGAATTTTACGGATTTTTCTTATACTGATTTTTAAAAACGATAATATCATCATCTAATTTAGTTTTTGATAGAATTTTTATGGCGTGAGATGACGAGTATATCAACCAAGTTAGAGCTTTGTTTATAATCTATAAATATTTTTATAACTAAATTACGATGAGGTTGTTTACCACATAATTTATCAAATAGTAGAATTATAATTTCAAGCAAAACTAGACCAAAAATGCTAAATTTGTGAAGTTATTGCATGTAAAATTGAAATAGGACAATCTAGAGGACTAAATTCTTAAATTGGCCAACATAGAGGACCATCGTTACAATTTTCCCTTCCGTTAGAACCATCTATTGTTGTAGAACAAACCAATTTGATTTCCTTATTGGATTTTAGATTTGCATTCTCCTGTTCTATTTATACATGTTATAGTTAAAATTCTCTTGTTTTGTTGTATTTCAATAATATTATTTTAATTTCGAATGTGATTTTAACCATTTTCTAGTTTAATTTTGGTAAATCTCAAAGCATGAAAATTGTAGTCATTTGAGTTATTTTTTTTAATTCAAACTCAATCAGCTAGATCGAATGTCGAGTGACAAAGTTATGGATGAATGATTTACATTTTAGATTCCAGATAACTTAATCTATCAAAGTTGTCGGCATTGTAGATTAATTTATGCATATATTTTAACCCCAACGTTAAATCTTGGTGATTCAAGTTAAATTAATAAGTTTTCTCAACGAAGTATAAATCTCGTGTTTTGAATTTTTCCAAATGCATACTCGAAAATGGTCAATAACGTCTAAATTGAAGTTGAAATAGTATTATTAAAACTGAAACGACATTTATCATATCACATAATGTGTACATCAATAATCGATAAATCTCTATAAAACTTAATGTGATATTGAATGATGTGTAAAAGATAATTAAATCTATGAATTATAATTTATAAATACTTTTTAAATATTTATTTTAGTGTCTTATAGAATATACACTAATACGAAATTGGCCCACAAATTATCTAGCCTTGAAATTTCCTTTTTTTTTTTTTTTTTTTAATACATATACCGTTTTGTGCATTGGCCCATTGGGCACAAATTGAGCCAATAGTGTGCCCAAATTCATCTTACCATGGCGGCCCAGACTAACCAATTCCTTTTTTGCCCCTTTATTTATTTATTTAATTTTTCTTTTGAAAATTAGCTTTATTAATTGGCAATAATTTGATAGAGAAGCTCAAATATCAATTAAACTAGGTAATTACGGTCACCTCCTCAAATAATGTCAAATTGTGAGAAAATCCCTAATGTTTGGGTAATTACAATCACCCATCAACTATGAGATTTCTTACATGTTCACCCTTATGGTGTCATATTCAACAGAATTTTCTAGATTTCGTGGATTGTTCTCTAGTTTGTACTCGTATTGTGCAAAAATACAGCTTCTGATTCACCACAATCTGATATGTACAAGTTAAGAGATACATCTTATGGTCATCTGGTTTCAAAATGTGGAGCTCGAATGAGGTAAAACTGGTACAAACTGAAGAATATTCCACATAATCTAAAAAATTCCACTAAATTTGACACCACATGAATGAACGTGTAAGAAAATTCATAGTTAAGGGGACTCAAATATTAAGATTTTGTAATCCCACCGTTGTTATCAACAAGTGTCATTTAGATTTTTTTTTGTTTTTACTGTATACTGAATTTCGAACACCGTTACCAAATTTTTGTTCGCAATATTGCAAGTTGCAAACATTGCATTTAATGTACTTATTATCTAGCAAAAAAGGAAGAATATAATGAAATAAACCTAAGAATATATATGCAAGAAAGACATGAACTAAAAGTAAATTTGGCTTATTAGACCATATATAAATGAATTGAATATCTAAATATAGATATAATAAATAGATACAAACTAAACCAAATGGGGACCCTCCTATGAGAAAACTTTGAGGGGGTGGTCCCTTTGTATTTACACCACTCTTTCTCTCACACACACTTAAGTGAGAGAGAACAAAACCCTAATTACTTTGTGTGCCTTTACCTCTCTCTTTCTTCTTTCTCCTTTTCTTTTTTTCATATATTAATTTGGACCACATTTCTTTTTTATATTATTGAATGAGTCCTTTAAGATTACGCTGAACTTTGCTGTTGTTTACTTTGTTGGATCTTGTGTCAATTACACACCTGTCTTATTCATCATCACCCAAACAAAACCCTTTATTTTTTCTTCCTTCCATTTTCCCTCTTCTACTTTGGCTGAATATCACTGTACCCCCTTGTACTCTCGATTACATCGATTTGCCTCTATATACTTAAAAAATTATCTCAATATGGTCCTCGTCATTTGTTTTCAGACTTTTGACAATAACACCGTTTGATTTAAGTCTGAAAATTACAAAAAAATCACACCTCCTAGTATAAATAATTATAAAAAAAAAAAAAAAATTGTTGCTGGCGTTAATGTTTAATTTTCTCGCTGTCTTGAAATTTTTATTATTATTAATTTTTTTTTAATAGTTATTTAAACTGAGAGAGTTGGTTTTGGTAAATTTAGAGCTTAGATCAAACAATGTTATTGTCTAATGTTGACAACTAATAGCAAGGGCCACATTGAGACAATTTTTTAAGTGCATGGGGGCAACTCGATGCAATCGATAGTAGGAGGAGGTAAAGTGATATCGAGCCAAAGTACAAGGGGAGAAAGTGGAATTTACCCTATATTTTATATCCATATAGTAAATTACGGTCATCCCTGAAGTAAGGTTAAATTACGAAAATCCCCTTCATGTTTGGATAGTTACGACCACCCATCAACTATGAATTTTCTTACACGTCCACTCTTGCGGTGTCAAATTTAGTGGAATCTTCTAAATTGTATGATTTTTTTTCTTCAGTTTGTACCCGTTTTATCCGATTCCGGCTCCACATTTTGAAACAAGATGATCATGAAATGTGTCTCTTAAATTAACTTGTAAATATCAGGTTGTACGTGGTGCATCAAAAACTGTCAGTTTGCACAAAACTAGTACAAACCAATGAATATTCCGCGGAATCTAGAAGATTCTGTTGAATTTGACACCATAAGGGACGACATGTAAGACGATTCATAGTTGATGGGTAATTGTACGTAATTATCCAAACATGAGGGAGATTTTCGTACTTTGACCTTACCTCAGGGGTGTTGCCCTAATTTATCCAATATGTATATATTCATCCTTGATTTGTAAGCTACAAGAATATGAACAAAGAAAGAAGAGAAAAAAGAAAGCATGTATTTGAAAAGCATTATACAGACAGGGGGACCATGCTAGGGTTTTGTTAAGCTCAGAAAAAAATCTGACCTAGGTTTTCATCTTATGAGAGAAATCATCAGAACTTAAAAAATGAAGAAGCTTATAAGCTGTATATGTAATTAAATCATGATACAATGGTTTGAGCAAATTACCTATGTAGAAAAACTGCAAATTAATTATAGTACTAATTAAATTTCTATGATCACATATATAATTTCTTGATCTAGAGCAGAAGAAACCCTAATCAAACTATGAACAAATCTTCTTGAATATAAATATATGGATCCAATAGATCAAAAATCAACCATATGAACTCACAATCATATGATCACCAATTAATAACCCTTTTCGAGCCCGGTTACCGTTTAATTAATTTCCACCGAAATCGAATGTTGGAATATGTTTATAAGCTCATCAAAAAAAAAAACAAGAAAAAAAAAAGAAACATACCACTATCATCTTTCATTTGCCTACTACGAACGGGGCTCGTTTTGTCGGTCGTGCTCACTCGCGGAGTTATTATTTTGCGGAGGTGGGAAATAATAAGGCTGAAACTGAAAAAAGTGGCCGAAATTCTGCAAATCTTGATCACCGTTGTATTGAGACGAAGAAGAAGCCAATCCGAGGCTTACGGGCGGTTGAGATAGCGTTAAATTCGACGGATATTCCCACCTCAAAAATGAATTATTATTATTATTATTATTAATATGATTATTCATCAAACTCGAAAAGGAAGCCGGATTATTTTGCACGACCGATGACGACGACGACCTCGAGAGGAAATTGTTGTACTGTCTAGTAATTTCCTCCTCTTCATCGTCGTTCCTCGACCAATTACTACCCGTCTCGTTTCTCTCGCCCGAAGACGAAACGACGACATCGTTGAATTTCATTACCGGATCGTAGTTTTGAATATTCTGCATTATAGGGATTTGTTGGAGAGGCGGGAGAAGGTCGATATCGGCTTTCGCGGCTTCGAGAAGCCAATCGACCACTTTGCTCGGCTGGTTCAGACCTAACCTCTCTTGAAGATCGTACAGCTGTATGGCCGTGGGAACCGATAGCCTCACGCGCCGGTCGCGTAAGCCCTTGACCGTGCACACTTTGCTGTGCCGGTCTTTGCCCCCGAACGCTCGAGAAACTCGAACGATTCGAGGGTCTTTCAATCTCGACCACGACGTCGTTGTTGTTGAGCTAGACGAGGGTTTGTCGGTTTCTTGCTTTGCTGTGAAATCTAAGTCCATCGGAATCATTTTCTCATAACTCAACAGAAAATTAAATCAGCGGCTAATTAAGTTTGGGAAAATTGCACCTAACTCCCTTAAATTCTTCTGTTATGACAAAAATAAAGGAAAATTTACACTAACATATATAAACACAATAGGCAATTAAATTCAAGAAGTACTGTCTGAAATATTAAATATATTTTTTTATATATATATATATATAGTAGCATATATATAATATATATATAAGAAATACTTACTTAGGTTTAATTTTGTGTGAAACCGCCATTGTTGAGAGAGAGTTGTCTGAGTGTATGTGGTTGTATGTAAGAGAAGAGGAAACTCAGTTTCAGAGTGAAGATGTGTATATATATATATATGTATGTATATGTATAGATATAGTTAAAGAATTATTAGATGTGAGTAGTGAGATATATGCTGGAGTTCAAACCGACCATGCCCCATAAGAAAGAAAGAATTGGCTCACAGGAAGCCACGTGGACACAGTGGAAATTATTAACCCATAAACGTGCTTGTCCAAATCATATCAAAAATTCTAATTACTTCTAGTTCTAACGACTTATGTTTGTGGAATCAATTCGTTGATTTTTTTTTTTTTTAGGTTTTTTTAATTAATGTTCAGCTGTTAATATAAGATGGATTTTAATTAACCTACCTCTTTTTATTTTTGTTTTCCATTGTAAATTTAGAGAAAAAAAAAAAGATGCCCTTTATTAAATTATAAGGTCTTTGAATATATACTAAAAATATAGATATTTTCGTTAATATATAAATTATCCCTGAGGTGAGATCAAATTACGAAAATACCCCTCATGTTTCGATAATTACAGTCACCCACCTCAACTGTGAATTTTTTTTAAACGTCCACCCTTATGATGTCGAATTCAAAATAATCTTCGGAATTATGTGGAATGTTCTTCAGTTTGAACTCGTTTTGCGCGGAAAAAAAAGAGAGTTTTTGATGCACCACAGTATGATATTTACAAGCCAATATAGTCACCATCGTATGATCATCTCTTGTTTCAAAATGTGGAGCTCGAATGGGGTAAAACATGCACAAATTGGGAGAATATTCCATATAATCCAGAAAATTAATTATATTCCACTAATTAATTTGATAAGATTCAAGATTTTTTTGTAATAAAAATTGTAATAACAATGTTGATTATTGGGGAAGATGAATGTATACATACATATTTGAATGTGACAGACTATTAAAAGGGCAAATAAATTAAATTCAACTCATGAGAATAATAACTACTCTAATATATATATATCAGGCTTCAAAAGTTGTAAACCTCA